GGCACGGCCCAACCCGGCGGGCAAAGCTGGCGGCTGCAGGTCTGTGCCGAGTAGGTGTTTCGTCGGGGCTGTGCCAAGCGCCGCAGGCTGAAAGCAAGGCTCTGCAGGAGATGCTGCCAGTCCCAGGCAGGATCGGAGGGCAACGTCGGGCTGCCCGGCCCCGCCAGAGGCCACCAACGACTATCTGCACCCCGGTTTACCTTCCGGCCCGCCCAACTCCCACGGGAAGGTCGGACGCGCAGCGCTGCCACCCCCTCTCTATCTCCAGGCTAACGCTGGGTCGTGTCTCTCCCCACCTCACCCCGTGGGCGATGCGCAGCCCGGAGCTCGGTGGGGAGGATGCTCCAGTGCTGCAGGGCTCGCAGAGCGCCTGTCCTTCGCGCCCGCACGGCCGCAGGCTGGTCCACCGCTGCACCAGGGGAAAAAGGGGATCTGCCAGCGAGCCTTCACCATTGCACTGTGCAGCCACCCGCTGCCGCAGCACATCTTTCCATCGTGTCAGAAACAGGTAAGAATACGGCGCTCACACCGAGCCTTTACCATTCATATATTGATTTATTAACACTTCTTGTCCAGAAGCTACAGACAAATAAAACACAGCTCTGATGCAGTAACACAAGGTTATTTATAACACTCATGAACGTTCTTAAGAAGAAACGTTTCTTCACGGTCTGTCTTTCACCTATCCTTTCTTTTTTCAGGCAGAGGTAAGATCTTTATTAAAAGAACTAATAAGTTAGGAGGAAACTGGTAAGTTCTTGAGCCCTTTCAGAAAGGTGACAGCACACTCCTATTTCCCACCGCATCACCCAGTCTAAACCACCTCCACCTTTAACTTCTGCTCCGCTTCGTCCCTTTGTCCGCTAACTGCGATGGCAAAAGCACCGCTGTACTTTCTCCCTCACTGGCGTTCCCCCCGATCAGACCAAGCAGCACGCCTGCACTGTCACTCCCCCTACCTTGGTCTGGAACTACCGAAAACTGGCAAAACCCAAGCAGGTTTCTCGAGGGGATCTGAAAGGAGCCCACGTCCAATGCAGCTGCTGAGAAAAGCGAGGCAGAGGGAGGCCTGGAGAGGGCAGGAGGGCAGGCTGTTCTCCCTCCGTGTGCATTCGCGGATGCTCAGGTAGAAAAACTGTCCAGATTTTTGCCGGTTGCCTTCTTTGTAACTATACCGACAGATCTTTGCTTTTTAACCGAGGTTCAGGAGTCCGTTAGCAACACTTTGATTTCTGACTCGCTGTGAAGGCCTCTGACTAAATCTTAACACAAATAAATAGCTGTGACGCAATGCCACTTCAGCTACATTCAGCCGTAGAAGACACTAAATTATTAACTATCATTAGCACGCTTAGCCCAAAACACCAACGCACAACCCGCGCACCCCTGCTTGTCCGTCAGCACCCGACGTGTGCCACGGCGGAACTGTGGCCCAGGCCACCCGCTGGCCCTGGTGGCCGACCTGGCACGTGCCAGCCCGCGCACGGCACCGTCAGCCCGCAGCAAGCCCGCTGCTCCCACTGCCCGCTGGGCAGCACACGCGCAGCTCTCTGCGTGCTGCAGCCCGGGCTCCTGCAAACCCTGCGCCCGAGCGACAGCCCCGCCGGCGCGGAGCAGCGGGATGGCAACACCGGCAGCAACGCTCTCGCTGTCACCGCTCACGCCTGCCCCGCGCGCCCGATGCACACTGACTCCCCCGCACCGGACGTCTCCCCGCTGCGCGGCTGCAGCAGCCGTCACCCCACCGCTCGCAACGCTGCAGCCCGGCTTCAACGCCGTGCCGCGGCCATCCCTGTCCTGTCCAGCCCACCGTCCCCAGAGCGCGGCTGCTCTCCGGTGGCAGGCGGGACGGGGCTGTCCCTCCTCGGGGCAGGGAGCAGGGCTCGCCCGAGCGTGGGACGGGGCGCTGCTGGGCACCGGGAGGTGGGTGCTCGCTGCAGCTCGCACCGCTACTGCCGGGAAATCCGCTCGCGACTGCAGCGGGGCACCAGGGCTCTGCTCGGCCACCGCCGGCAGCCGGGTGTCCTCCTGCCCCTGCCGAGGGGCCACTTCCCCCCCACTGCGAGCCAGTCCCACGGCGAACGGCGGCTGCTGAGGAAGGCCTTGGACCAAGCTCCCCCACAGGCCTGGCTGCGGGCAGCGGCCGGGCGTCAGTTCCGGCTCCCAACGAGCCTCACGCAGAGTTTGGGGGCTTCTCTAACGCTGCCTGAGAGCGAAACTCCTTAAAACCGGGAGGCGTTAGTGTCAGCTTCCCCAGGTTACTTGGTTAATAAACTGCCATTCCTAGACGTACACTTCTAGCACTCCCTGCAGACCACGGGGAGAAGCTTGGCTTTGGTGGTCGAAAGGAGGAAAAATAAATGCCTTCAGCTCATCAACCAGCAGCCTGTAGCACGCACCTCCTCCTGCCCGAAGAGCCGGCTCCGGAAGATGCGGCAGTTCCTGCAGCACCTGAAGAACCGCCATTACTAAAGACGAAGCTGTGACTTACATCACTCCCATCCGCCACCTAGAAAAGGTACTCGGGACCGTCAAGACCATCAGCTCACCCAGGAAGGCCTGAGGACCTGCGGTACGACCCACTTTCTCACGTCAGGCTGGGGTCCACGCCACAACTGCATCTTTCAAATCTGTCACTGTCACCGGCCCTGGGTCCTCTCCACACGCCCGCTGCGCCCCGGGCACGCCGACCACCCTTCTCTCGCCACGCAACAGGACACGCACCATCCATGCACGCCACGCTGACACTCGGGTGACCCTCGCCTGTCCCCATGGGCTCATTCCCCCCAGGCCCAAAGGCGCCTCGTCGGTCAGCTCTCACGTCACCCAACCCCCTGGGGCCCCGCAGCCGTTGGCACCTGCACTCGCAGGGACGGCTCCTGGTTGTCAGACACCCCCAGCACAGAGCCCCCCGCCGTTCTCCTGCACTTGCTTTCCTCCTCTGCCAGCGGCGCCTCGCAGGAGCGAGCGCAGGCGCCGTGCGCGGATGACACCCACGGAGCTGTCAGAAAAGCACCTCGAGAGCAGTTTCTCAACCACCCAAAACAGCCATAGGCCATGTACCCGCCTGCCGAAAAACGCTGACACAACCCGCTGACGTCAGCTTTGTCCATCCCAAGCGTCGATGGTTTGCTGGGGAAATGCAGCATATGGAGCTTTCCCGCACCTCATCAGTATAAATTCTGTTAGTGTGATACTGTACACTCTGTACCTGCGCGGCCGTCGCGCACCCAAATCAGCGTACGGAAGGGTCGAGTCCACGGCTGCAGGAGGGCGATGTGGGGTCCCCCTCGGAGGACCGCGCTCCCCTGCGGGG